GATGGAACAGAGGCTAAAAACCTGTATATGAGATGTAACAAACACTTGTGCCTCATAAGCTGATTCCTCTATGAAAAGTCTTAATGTGTCACAACTAAATCAAATAAGACCAAAAATATGCCAGTTTTATTTCATGAAACATGACAACAGAAATTGGTATAGAACATTGCCACAGCATAGAGTGTGACAGTGTTTGAAGATTTTTCCATTAGAGGAAGGTATTCTGGAACGGTGAGTTCATATCGCTAAACCACAGAGCAGTAGCGGATCGAATTTTCTTGTAAACAAGGGAAAAGCACACTAGTCCATCTGGTCAACATTTCAATATTAAATTAATTTGCCAGATGCACACAACACTTGGCTGCTGCGGCTCCCCCATTCTAAATACCAATGTGTTTCTGGGTTCCTTCCCAAACTATTTTCAAGCTTGCCTCCATTAAACAGACAAATAGGAACAGGACCATTAAACCATTAAAGCCTGCATTACACTGTATAACCATACTTTATGGTGCCTTTGCTATAACATTGAGCTGGCAATAAACAGAGCTGAGCTACTAAGACAGCTGGGGGTGACATAAAATAAAAGTAATGAAAAAAAAAGCAATTATAAGCCGTGGAAATATTCCTCGCCACATTAACCCCAAACAGGACAACACAGGAAATCCTGTAAACCAATATGAAATATAACATTCATCACACTCCCGAAATCTTTAAATAAAAATTACATCTGGACAGCCGCTGACAGAAAAGAGATTAAACCATAACTAAAAAACCCAATTATCACTATTTGCCAAGGTCCATTTTGAAACACAAAAGTGTTTCTGACAGTGTGCTGTGTGTGTCAATCCTTTCATAAAAAGCCATTTTTAGCTCAAAGTTCCAGGAATTGAAAACATTTTTATAGTCATTAAGACTCTGATCAGTCTAGCATTATTTGCTCCCTGCATCCTGTATTCTTGCTTAGTAACAGAAAAGTAACTAGGTGAAGCCGAGAAGAAATGCACACAGAAGGTATGAATGAAAGTGCTACTTTCCTACAATTCTCCCTCGGCCTCAGAATTTGTAGATTTTCTCCTCTATGACTGCCAGCTGTGATGATCCACTTTTGATTTTCATATAGAGATACATGATCTCTTCTTTGTGAAGCAAAAGAGAAATGGAAGGAAACATTCCCATATACACAAGCCTTTGTAAGACTGCAGACTTTTATTTTTTCCCACTTACAAAGCTGGCTTTTACTGTTTGCAACTTGAAATTGATATTCTCCAGCTTGACTTTGTCAGTAGTACGGTATCTACAGATCCTTGCCTGCTTTCCCAGATCCTGACCTCAATGCCTGGCATGTTTAAATCATTAACCATGTTCTGCAATAACTGTAGTAAGATGGAAAAATAATAGACAGTTCTGGAAGTGAAGGGACAAAAATAATTTTTCCATTCTGTCTTTACTGCTCTCACCTGTCATTGTAAGACTAAGGGGTTGATTTACTAACCTTATAAACACACCACGAACATGTATACACCTCTGTAGTGTGTTCCCTCCCAGCATGATCTATGGGTGGAATCTAAACACCTTTGTAGTGTGTACACACCCAGCAGGTGTGTTGTGCAAAGCCAAGCATGAATTGCAAGGTGATGTTGTGTAAATTAGCTCTATGTTGTGTTGCTTGCGTTGATGAATGCAGGAATGTAAATGCATGAGCTAACCATTTTTGTCTAAACTGTGGAGCAGCATTATATATGCATCATGTGCATGATTTTTCCATATATGGCATTAGTGGAAATATGCTTTTAGAGACTTTTTGGTTGATAAATACGTTTTGCTGTGTGAAAATCACACGCACCTGGTGTGTGCGTGTGTTTAGGTTAGTAAATCAACCCCCAAGTGTCTTTGGTTTAAGGAGGCTCTACTGTTCTTCAATCTAGAAAATCAGTAGAATTGTCTTAACAATAAAGAAAGTGTGAGCACACAAACATGTGAATGTAAATTTAACACCAACAGTACTAACATTATGGATGAATGTCTAACTGCACTTTAACTAAAAGTGATATATTTGTAACTGTCCCAGCAAATTCTACAACGCTTACAGCCTTTACAACCCCAATTCCAAAAAAGTTGGGACACTATGTAAAACAGATTGCAGTGATTTGCAAATCTTATAAACCCATATTTTATTCACAATAGAAAACATATCACATTTTTAAACTGAGAAAATGTACGTTCGTTTAAGAAAAAAATAAGATAATTTGGAAACTGATGGCAGCATCACATCTCCAAAAAAATTGGGACAGGGCAACAAAAAGCTGTCAAAGTAAGTGATATTAACACCTGTAGGTGGCAATACCATCCAACTGTCTCTGAATAAATGTATCCCGTGTCCCTTAATGTTCAAGAAATAAATGATCATCATAAAGATCATATACAATGCTGAATGATGGAGAAAAAGAAGAGCAGATAATCCTGCCTTAGCATAAGTGCTGATGTGCTTAAAATACATATTACTAAATGTAGATCTATGATCCCTCCTCATTTGGGTGCTTCTCCCCTGTATGCCGGTAAACAGATGGAACAGAGGCTAAAAACCTGTATATGAGATGTAACAAACACTTGTGCCTCATAAGCTGATTCCTCTATGAAAAGTCTTAATGTGTCACAACTAAATCAAATAAGACCAAAAATATGCCAGTTTTATTTCATGAAACATGACAACAGAAATTGGTATAGAACATTGCCACAGCATAGAGTGTGACAGTGTTTGAAGATTTTTCCATTAGAGGAAGGTATTCTGGAACGGTGAGTTCATATCGCTAAACCACAGAGCAGTAGCGGATCGAATTTTCTTGTAAACAAGGGAAAAGCACACTAGTCCATCTGGTCAACATTTCAATATTAAATTAATTTGCCAGATGCACACAACACTTGGCTGCTGCGGCTCCCCCATTCTAAATACCAATGTGTTTCTGGGTTCCTTCCCAAACTATTTTCAAGCTTGCCTCCATTAAACAGACAAATAGGAACAGGACCATTAAACCATTAAAGCCTGCATTACACTGTATAACCATACTTTATGGTGCCTTTGCTATAACATTGAGCTGGCAATAAACAGAGCTGAGCTACTAAGACAGCTGGGGGTGACATAAAATAAAAGTAATGAAAAAAAAAGCAATTATAAGCCGTGGAAATATTCCTCGCCACATTAACCCCAAACAGGACAACACAGGAAATCCTGTAAACCAATATGAAATATAACATTCATCACACTCCCGAAATCTTTAAATAAAAATTACATCTGGACAGCCGCTGACAGAAAAGAGATTAAACCATAACTAAAAAACCCAATTATCACTATTTGCCAAGGTCCATTTTGAAACACAAAAGTGTTTCTGACAGTGTGCTGTGTGTGTCAATCCTTTCATAAAAAGCCATTTTTAGCTCAAAGTTCCAGGAATTGAAAACATTTTTATAGTCATTAAGACTCTGATCAGTCTAGCATTATTTGCTCCCTGCATCCTGTATTCTTGCTTAGTAACAGAAAAGTAACTAGGTGAAGCCGAGAAGAAATGCACACAGAAGGTATGAATGAAAGTGCTACTTTCCTACAATTCTCCCTCGGCCTCAGAATTTGTAGATTTTCTCCTCTATGACTGCCAGCTGTGATGATCCACTTTTGATTTTCATATAGAGATACATGATCTCTTCTTTGTGAAGCAAAAGAGAAATGGAAGGAAACATTCCCATATACACAAGCCTTTGTAAGACTGCAGACTTTTATTTTTTCCCACTTACAAAGCTGGCTTTTACTGTTTGCAACTTGAAATTGATATTCTCCAGCTTGACTTTGTCAGTAGTACGGTATCTACAGATCCTTGCCTGCTTTCCCAGATCCTGACCTCAATGCCTGGCATGTTTAAATCATTAACCATGTTCTGCAATAACTGTAGTAAGATGGAAAAATAATAGACAGTTCTGGAAGTGAAGGGACAAAAATAATTTTTCCATTCTGTCTTTACTGCTCTCACCTGTCATTGTAAGACTAAGGGGTTGATTTACTAACCTTATAAACACACCACGAACATGTATACACCTCTGTAGTGTGTTCCCTCCCAGCATGATCTATGGGTGGAATCTAAACACCTTTGTAGTGTGTACACACCCAGCAGGTGTGTTGTGCAAAGCCAAGCATGAATTGCAAGGTGATGTTGTGTAAATTAGCTCTATGTTGTGTTGCTTGCGTTGATGAATGCAGGAATGTAAATGCATGAGCTAACCATTTTTGTCTAAACTGTGGAGCAGCATTATATATGCATCATGTGCATGATTTTTCCATATATGGCATTAGTGGAAATATGCTTTTAGAGACTTTTTGGTTGATAAATACGTTTTGCTGTGTGAAAATCACACGCACCTGGTGTGTGCGTGTGTTTAGGTTAGTAAATCAACCCCCAAGTGTCTTTGGTTTAAGGAGGCTCTACTGTTCTTCAATCTAGAAAATCAGTAGAATTGTCTTAACAATAAAGAAAGTGTGAGCACACAAACATGTGAATGTAAATTTAACACCAACAGTACTAACATTATGGATGAATGTCTAACTGCACTTTAACTAAAAGTGATATATTTGTAACTGTCCCAGCAAATTCAAAAAATATGAATATAATGGTTATCTTTTCCTAAGATAAGTCCAATTGCCAATAATACTACCTGCAGCCTCGTGACTCTGAGCACTTCCTGCTGTGTTCTGAAAAATCTGTTCCCAAGAAAAGCATTGCTTATTCAGCTCAATGCAGAGGAGGCATTCTGTCTCCAAACACCTTTATCTAGTGGTGGCCAGGAACAGCTTGTTTACAGCAAACATGGATGAATCCCCAGGGCCAGGTCATGTTGCTAGAGGCAGGATTTATCTTTGAAGGGAAGCCATCATAATGACACTTTTAATGAGCTACATGGACATGCTTAACAGTAGTATTTTATAGTAAATAAATGTATATTTTTTCAATAAGTACCTCAAGAATATGTTCTGATTGTTGTTCACGGTCAAGCTTTCTTGATGTAGTTGTTATGAGACCTAGAAAGAAAAAGATATTTTAAGTCAGGATATTAAAAAAAAAAGTGTATGGAGCATGCATTAGCAATAACCTTCCTACATAATAAAGCTTTCATTTGTACAACACATGGAAAAATGTAGCATACAGAAATAAACCAAATTCTTAGTTTCAGTGGCTTATTTTAACCACATAGTGAAAATAGGGGAATTTTTTTTGTGGTGAAAACTAGCTAGAAAATTTGACTAATCCAGGAGGAGTCAATTTCCCAGCACAGTGTCCTCCTCCTATACACGTTATATACCTCTCCTTATCTAGAATTGTCTAACTACTCTCTGTGCTGGCCAAGCTCCTCAGCCTCTCCCCTCACTTTCCTACATAACCGTTTATATAGCAACCAGGGAAGAAGCACTTAAGTGACAGCTCTGAGCCTGTTGGGACAGCCAACATCACATCCAAGATGGCAATATCCAGCAGCAGTCTCAGGGCTTCTCAATGCTGTTAAAAGGGAGGCTTTTACAGATAATAAAAAGGGACATATAATCTCACAGGAAGATTTTTGTTGAAAATAACAGTCTGGCAACAGGGTCTCTATAGTTACTCATTAGGATCATAGAACAAATTATTCAAACATGTGATGAACTTCACACCTTCTCTTATGTTAATAATAAAGTCACGGTATATTTAAATATAAATTAGGATGATATACATATATATTAACAGACATTTTGAGTTTAATTCCGGTGTATTGCCCTTTATCAAGAAAGGATAAACATAACCTACAATGTAAAATTGCATGTCACTTAGAATTATTTTAACAGCACTTAAATGGCCAACTGGGGTTCTCACTAGACATGGCACATTTATTAATAGAGCTGACACAAACAACAGTAAGTACAGAGACTGAACAAATCAACACTAAACACAAAGTTTACCTCCAGGGAACATTTCCCTGAATATTATTTGGACCACTGTGTTCTAAAGGCAGGTAGAGCAGTAATTGCTCACTGTTGTTCTCAACTAAATATCCATTCATGAAAACCCAGGCAAGAGTGGCTTGCTTGGCGGTTTAGATGCCTAACCCATGGGGAGTAAATAAGCGATACTGGCAATGGAACAAGGATGATATGAAGCAAATTAAACAGGGTGACGACTGAGAAAGGGAGAAAGCACAGAGCAAATGCTGAGCCAAGGTTTGCTGTTAATTTTATTATTTCACCTGCCCACACTGTAGCTAGTATTAAAATAAGTCAACCCAAATAGCATTTCTGCTAAATCACTTGATTCTATGAGTCTTGGCAGCGGGTCTTAGTTCTTATAGTCTGCATAGAATGTATTGTTATACGCTTCTGTTGGAAAGTGCAGCATTTGTTGATGAATTTTGAGGTCTTTGTGTCATAAAGAGAAAATATCACCAGAGCCAGCAGCCCAAAAGCTTTGCAGCTCAGTAAGATTTAAGTAGTGTTATTTAATACGAATATGAATGCGTATTCCTCTGGTAATAATACTGTGGTAACAATTCAAACAAGATACATTCTCAATGGTTTTACTCTTAGGCACCTGGCACCATTTGAGATGCTATAAATACTATAAAAAAATATATAAAAGCTATATTTGGCTAGCTGGTCTAATAGCCGTGGACTAAAAAGACAAGGAATCAACCATATTTAAAGTGATATTACAGTCAAAAGGATGTTAGGCTATTTCTAATGCAGATTAAATCTCTTACAAAGGATGCTGTTCCTTGAAGTATAAAATAGTTAGTTTCCTGAAAAAGCAGTGGGTCCTGATATCCTGTTTTAGAGTGGCTCCTTTCTCTTGCAGGGTCCTATGGAGCCACTCTTGTGTGTGCTAGTAAGCTGTGTGCGTCTCTAAGGCAAGCTATTTCCCTGCTCCCCGGTCTTCCCTCCTCCCTTCTTCAAGCTAGAAAGTTGCTGTAGGTTGCTCTATACCTTGTGATCTTGTACTGGACAGGAAGTTCAGGGAAGCTAAGCTGAGAGAGTTGGAGCCAGATGTATGAAATCATGGTGATTGTAAAGGTGCCCATACACTGTACGATTATCATACGAGAATCGCGGGAAATCCCGCAATCGTGCGATAATCGTACAGTGTATAGAAGGCGTGTGACCGTTTCTACTGTGCGGTCACCCGTCTTCAGTCGAACAAGCAGGCTTGAAAACCCGCCTAGAATCGTACGGGTTAATGGCCTGCTTGTTCGATAACTGCCGAATGGGTCGGTGTGCGCACGCGCACACTGCCCGTTTGCAGTGATCAGAAGCCCGCCCCTCATTGCGGTCATCGCAAGTATGATCTGCCTGTCCAAGATGGGCAGATCGTACGAGCTTTTAATAAGCTTACGATCATTGCAAGACAAAAGTATTGCGATGGTCGTAAGGTGTATGGGCACCTTTAGTGTTTAGGCAAATGTAAAGAAATACTTTTCTGGCCAATATATATGTGTTTAATCTGAATTCGTTATTGAAAAAAGGTTTGACCGTTTAATGCTACTTTAATGTTCAAATATGATTAAAGGCTAAACCAGCTAAAACATTTCCCAACATTTATCCAGGACAGAACATCACTTTTCAAGCTTATACTGGCTGTGCCCATTAGGTGAGAATAGGAATTAGGTTTCCTGTAGTACTTCATGCCCCTTACCCTACCAGTTTGTTCCCATGTCCCCAGAACCAGGAGTTGCCATTGTACATTTCACCAGTTGATTAAAACAGGTATTACAATGTCAGTATTCATATATAATAAGGATCTCAGAAAACCATTACATGTGAGAGGTCAGATTAAGCTTTACACAATTCTGATTTAGGACTGTCAAACCCATTTAAATATACAATATCACATTCTTCCCATTCTCTCCCATTCTACAGGCTTATTTAATACTTCAGAGCTATACACAAAAGGGTGAAAAGTTTGGAGAAGGCAGGGGAACAATCTAGGACAGCATAGCTGATTTGGAAGAATTGTCCAATTCATCTCACTTTCCAGTTTAGCTATGTTGTCCTATATTGTTCACTTCTCCTGCCTTCTCCAAACTCTTCACCCTTTTGTGAATAACCTTGTTAGTCATTAACATGACTTTCCATTCGACTAACAGGTGCATGTTTGCTAAAATGTAATTAGTTCTATCCAGATCATTTGTGGGTCAGGCTACAGTGGCGCAATTAAACTTGGGGTCTTATCTATTAAAAATGTTTAGCATTTACCACTATAAATCAAGCACATTACAAACTTACATAAAAACAGTTTTAACTTTCTGTTAAAGTTTGTACATTTAAAGCTTTTGTATTATTTTATTTCTGAAGAACATCATATAACTAATTTTTCCTTCTCTGCTAGGATGAAAGAATGCCAAGGCCTGCCAACAAGACAGCATAATCCTGGGAATCTCCCAATTCCCATGGTAGAGGAGAAAAAATAGAAGGGAAAAGAATCCTGGGAAAGAACAGTTAAGAAGTGGGGAACTAGAAGTTAGCTCACCCTGTGGGCATAAATCATTTTAACGATTCCTTACAGAGAGCAACTAGTCACAATGTATTCGCTATGGGCATAAAAATCTGTGATGAAAATGAGGACAGAATGCAAACTCCAAACGGTGAACAAAAGGACTCACACCAAAAGCACAGAAACTATTGACACCATCCAAAAAAATGGTTGAATAAAAAAAGCAGCCAGGCTAATGGGGTAGTCTTTTGTTCAGGCAATTACAGTCTTCCTGATGCATCTATTGCCTTTAAAAATTAATAGATCTGAAATCTGACAGGATCTGAATTAAACTCCTAAATCTCAAACCAAAATAAACAAGTAAATAAAAGTCAGTAAGATAAGACAACATAATCCGTAAGCAATTTGCATTAAATCTTTTTTTTATTTATTATGTAATTTATTATATTTTCTGTATTCAACTATGTTCTATTTTGTCACTGCATTATTTAATTAAAATAATGCAAAACCATTAAGGGACCAGTACAAAAAAACGACAGGTTTTCTAATATAATCTTGCTATGAATAGCACTTACAGACATATGTAAGATTTTAAAGTGACACTGTCACAATGCAAAAAATACCCAGTAAATCCATACCTGTAAAAAAAAAAAAACCGGTAAATACGTACATTTTCCACTGCCTGTGCAACTGAAACCAGATTCAATGCTGCAAAATGGTCCCCTGAAGTCCTCTGTAAAAGCATCACTTCAGGGAAAGTTTTGATTTTCTGGGTCCCTAGGAGCCTTTACCGATTCCTCCTAAAGACCTCCACTCTTTACAAGGGACAGTGGTGATGTGGGGGTTGGCAGGAGAAGCCACTGAGAGTTGTGAAGGACCTAGGAGATCAACTGTCCCAGAAGTATCCATTTATTTGTTGACATTGGGTGATGGCTGTGCTGGATATATTTTGGTATAGCAAAAGGGCCTCTTTAAGAAGGTTATCAGAGCTGAATAAATCTGCCATCATGTGTTTATGGGGGCACTTTTCTTTTATAATATTTGGGAAACAAATGACCCATGGAACAGGTGGGTCCAAGAGCAAAAGAAAAATAAGAAGACTGGGGGAACACCGTAGCTCAGGCTATCTTGCTTGGAAGCTATAGTTCACCAGATTCAATTACCACCAAGTAGAATGCCTTTGCAAATTCTACCTGTTTTTGCATAGGCTTCCTCCCACCATCCACAAACAATGGGAGGTTTATTGGTTTCCACACAACTGCTATGGTATGTAGGGGTGTATTTACTATAATGGCACTTGATGGCTAGTGCCTAGGGTACAGGGTAGACGGGAGCAGAACTAAGCATCAAAGTTTACAAATCTGGCCACCGCTGAATATTTGTGGCTAAATTCAGAAATCTAACTACAGGGGGAAGGAGGTACAAGAGATGGTAATGCTGAATTCCAGGATAGTATAACAATCTCCCCAATCATTATTCCAATTACTCAAGCTCCTTTGCTAGAATAAAAAATGAGAATGTACATTATTCCACACATTGCACATATTATTTTTGTAAATTCACCTTT